GGCACATCTTCCTGACCATGGACGGATGGACCGACTGTAATTACATGATATTAAAGCCGCAATTTTTCAGACAAAAATAGGACTTTTCCAGCCCTGGCTAGACTCAGGTCATGCACCTATACTTTTTCTTGTTTTATGCGATACACGTATAGTTATAGTTATACAGTAGTTTATCATTTAGTAGATGAATTCATTTTTCATTCCTTTTGTAGTCTATAATTTCTTTATTTGTATCAACGCTGTCAAGGAATGAGTCAAAGGACTTATCAAATATTTTTTTAGTGTATTTCTCTTTCAAATTAAATACAAACAGCAAAACACATTCAATTTTCTTGCAATTGAACTTGCATTATAGTATAAAAAAAGTTATATGATATAATGCGTTTCATTTTTGCACAACGTTAAGAATAAAAGATGTCACGACTCATGAGTAGCTACCTAGGCCTAGGTAGGTGGTCGCGGGTTGTAGGTGAAAAAGAAGTCGCACATTGATCGCTTGTAACACCTGGACTCAGCAATAGTTATTTAGTTGAAGTCTTCAGCGTGTTTCTCTTAATTTCATTTTCTTCTTTGCTGGCATGAGCTATCCTTGTTATCAACAATTCTCTTGTTTAGGGCAAATCACAGTTTAATCGAGTGCATTTTACCAGCTACATAGTAGATAATCAACCGGTTTGCATGAGGTATGTGGTGGTTGCTCTTATTATGTGGTGCTGAACTCTTCTGGGATAGTTTCCTCCACCAAGGAGCACACACACAGATGTGAGAGGGACTCCCAGGGCATGCACACTTGATATCATCACCTGTCTCTCATGATCATATAGTGTACATGAAAGGAGGAAGTGTTCAATTGACGCTTCAACCCCACAGTGCAGGCACATGGGAGTGTCAGCCATGCCAAATCAATGAAGATAAGAACGAACCCCAACGTGGCCAAGACAAAGGCGGGTTAAAACCACTGCTGCACGACAAGAACGGCAAGCAACCCATGGGACAGGAGACATCCCGGACCGAATGGAAGCTAGATGGTGGCCCCTTCCATCAGTAGCCACATCTTATTTAGGAGGAGAGTTATTGGTTGCCTTCATTGTTAAGAACCCTCATAGGGATTAACGCGCCTGGCGGCCGCTCCACCGGCCTCTTAAGGCCTGTAGTAAAAAAAAAAAATTGCTGTATTAAAAAATTTGCAGACAGGTGACAGCACTCAGCTGTAAAACTTCATTGATGGAATTTTTGTACGTACCTACCTCATTCTAAAACAAAATGGCAGCCATTTCTGCATGATGAGGTAAAAAGGGACGCCTCCACGGCCTTCCAAAGTAATGCAGATTACGGGACACATCTAATGATCGAAAAATGAATTTACAGTAGAACCTTGGTTTGCAAAGGCTCCAGTTGCGAAAATTTTTTATTAATTTTAATAAGAACGAATTTGATTATATTTACCTTGCTCAGCAAAAAATTTTACATAACAAAAAATTAATGCATCATGATCATTGGTCATCATAAAATTGCAAATTGAAATTCAATTAAATTATAGATAGAATTGTGCACCAGCCAGTGGGCAGTGGCCACCAGGCAACAAATAGAATGAAAAGTAATTCACCTAAACTATGAAATATTTCTCCAACAATATGATGGCAGATGGTTACCACCAATCCAGTTACCACTATTCACTAAAATATTACTTTCTGTTTCTGGTATGTTTTTTTTCCAATATTTTTAGTGCATTTTCTCATTTATGGAAAAATTGCCCTATTGTGCTAGTCATGTCCGTCCGTCCGTCTGTCCGTGACTTCACGTTTTCGTCGATTTTGAGAAAATGCGCTCCCTGTCACTCACTGCAGTGAGTACTGAGTTAAATTTTTCAAGTTAGCATTGTTCTTGAATTTTCAAAACTCATGTCATGACTGAATGTTGAATGACTGTTGAATTATTGAATTCTCGCTTCATTCAATTAATATTGTATTTGTTTCTATGTTGTCAAACGCGCATTTAAGCTGTATGATTGAGCTGATTAATTGTTATCTTAAGAGATCCGCTCCACTGGCAACACGTACCTAAAGTTCGCTTAGGGACACAATTCATGGCCATGCTGAGAGCACCACCCACGACGGCTACCATACAAGCGCCGTCTATCAGTGACACCGAGAAACGGACTGGGGCCGTACTTTCAAAACTCGCTAAGTTAACGTAAGTACTTACTCTCTATTTTTTTATCTATGATTGGTGGATTTTGCTTGAAAGGCCGTCAATGATTGGCTGACGAACTTACGATCTCTTTACTTTTTTTTTAAAGTATGGGCCACGCGTAGCTTCCCAAGGCTCGAAACCACGGGCTAGCTCCTCTCATCTCGGTATCGCTTTTGCCAAAAAATGTTCACCATCTTTCACCAAAAACTTAATATGTATGTTTGCATGATTTTTTCTGAAACTCGCAAATTTGCCGTATCAAATTAAAACTAAACTCTTCTTTATCGAACTTTCTGTTGGTCTTAATCTTTATTTCAGTAACCAGATGCTGGGAAATGTTTATTATACATTTGTGATAACCGTCTCATCGCAGTTGTTTCAAGGTAATGACTTCAAAAAAATTTATTAGATCAACAAGAATTACTTGTTTAGCCGAAGGCTTTGGGCAAAAACATGATTAAAGTTTCAGTATTCACAAAATCATCAGCAAAAATCCGCAACGTTTCTAAAACATTCTTTACTANGGTTCATACGTTTATTCCGGGACAAATTTTACCCTCTGTCCCGTTATTTTTTTCCCGGAATTTTCTCGTCTCGTTTCGTCTGTCCCGGTTCATTTCGAGAAAATTATTTCGAGACGCAGGAGTCTAGTACTGAGTTACATTTTTGTTTTATAGTTAATTCACTTAACCCAATTAAAATCATGCAAAATTGCATGCCCAGTCATGTACCAGTAAGGCTGTAGCTGTAAGCTAACATACAGAAGAAATGCTATACGGATGCTGATATGAAGATTGAAGCTTGCATTGCAGCATTGGACAAGGTCATTGTCAATGGCATGTCCATGGATACGGTAATATCACATCAATTATAGGGTATAGCAGTAATGTGTGGACTGTGGATATGGTAATATATCAATGAAGGAAAAATGTGTATAAATCACAGAAAATGGCATTTATTCTATTCCTACATTGTCTACAAAGGAAGAGGAAGACTTTGGAGTACTGTTAGTAATGGATATTGGATGAGTACACTCTGCATGCTTCAAATGTTTGAGAATTAAGTTTTATTTCAAGTGTCTGATTATTCAAAACAGTTTTCTATTGCATCTGGCAGTAGCACCTAACGAGTAACAAATAGCATATACAATTTTTCAGAGATGCCATACAATTGCACTTGGAAAGACCTTTAAAACTTTGATGCTCACCTCAGTTTTCCAGTTTGGTCCAATTAGCACAGACGTTGTAACTATACCTGGCACAATAACCCCTGGACTCAAGGAGACATCAATGCAGTGTGTTTCTACATAGGGTTGTGGGAAAGATGCACCATTTGCACCAATTTTAAGCAGGTGTATGAGTGTTTTGGTCTTCCTCTTTTTCCATATTACATAATCTTTCCAAGACATATATGATCATAAAAATTCACTCAATTCATTCACTCACCTTAGCATCAGCTCGTTTCAGTGTTGCGCCGGCCGTGTGAATGATCAGGTGTACTACTTTTAATCCTTGTGTTGCTTCTAAAGTATTATTTATGCAATTAGATACCTCCAATTTCTTTTTATGGATATAACATACTTTCGAATATATATAGTTTTAATATTTTTCCTTTTTCACAGAATATTTTTGACAAATCACGCAATTATTTTGCCTAAACCATGAGTAAACGTAAAGCTTCACTTACTAATGAATAAATAGCAGCCTTATTAACAGAAGGTTCTTCAAGTGGCTCTAACAGTTCAGGGTTGAGTGATGACTTGGTTGCAGACAAGATTTCAAGCATGATGGAAATGCTTGCAACAGCACAGGCAGTGAATCTGAAAGTGTTGTGACAAATGATGAAGTTCCCTCAGAAGATGAAGTGACTGTAGGTAATGAGAGTGCTTGTAAACAATCTGTTGTTTCTGAGTGGGTTGATATTGAAGGACCTATTGAAGAGCTCTTTTGAACAGGAGTCAGGAATTATTGTTGATGTATCAAATAATGCGAAGCCATTGGATATATTCAGTCTGTTTTTTTCAGATGCAATCTTGGATCATGTGGTTGACAGAACAAATAGGTATGCAGAACGATTACTTGAAGCTCCAAATATCCTTCGAAGATCTAAGGCAGTTAAGTGGGTTCCTGTGACTAGGAGTGAGTTGAAACGTTTTCTCACTGTTAGTCTCCTAATGGGCCATGTAAAAATGCCAACTGTTAGGCATTATTTTCGGCGTAAAGGATTGTATGTAATTCCAGCGTTCCTGAAAATCATGAGTGGACAAAGATATCAAATAATTCTTAAGCATCTGCATATGGACTTGGAAGAGAGTGATGATCCTCTCAATAAAGTAAGGCCTATCATTGATTTATTGATAGATAACATTTGTGGTTACTACTACCCAGAACAGAACCTCAGTCTTGATGAGTCAATGATNATTTAGAATGCTAATCATGAATCATCCAATGTATATATATAGATATTGGCTTCAACTTTAACAATAATGGAATTGCATTAGAATTGGCGTCCCAAGACTGTTAACTTGTTGGAGAAATTGATGAAAGAGGTTACTATGCTTTTATTTGAAAAAATGTCAAAATTTACATTTAACAACAAATTTACAGTGCTCAGAATCAAAACTCAGAAGCTTGATTAGTTGATGTTCATGTTGATTGTTAAGTGAAAAAATCTCTGGCTCAATGAATAAACCTAGCCTGTACCAGGAAATTGTAAATGAATCGGTTTTTATAAAATATCTCATTATTGCAACTATGGCCTAGGTGGCAGCCGGCATGTGGGCACAGGTGCCGGGCAGGGTAGGCAACCTGAGCAACCTGACAACCTCTGTCCTCTAACTTCTGTTTCTTGTTCTGGACTTTGTGGGAGTGGGACTGCAAAAGGTTGTGACAAGCTGATGGCAATGGCTCCCACTCCACTCTCAGGTTCAGCAACATTCCACTCAATCCACTGACAGTCTGATGAATAAATAAAGTATCTGGGAATTAGTTAAATACTATGTAGACAACTACATGCAACAGTGCAACTGCAAGTGATTGAAAAGCTAGATCTCATTTTAGGTAGCCTGCAATGATAAGTATAAAAGTTTACACAAGACATTATTGTGGTTGTTGTTGTTGGCATTGTAAAGGTGGATGAGAAGTCACAAACTTTGTTGTGATTCTCCCACCTATTGAAATTGATTGATGCCGGGTTGAAGGTGAAGAAGTCACGCGCAGACCCGCGCAGACCGCTTGTATCATCTGGACTCAGCAATTATTATTTACTTCAGGTCTTCATCTTCTCACTTCAAGTTTCATTCATTTCTCTGCTGGTGCTTGCTCTCCTGCCTCTCCACGTTGTCAGCAGTCTCTCGTGATGCAAAGCGATGGGAGGCAAATCGGCTATAACCTATAAGGTAGCTAGACAACCAGTTTGTGTGAGATAAGTAGCAGTTGCCTGCACTATGGAATGCTGAACTCTTCTGGGTCAATTGCCTCCACTGAGAAGCACATGCACAGACATGAGAGGGATACAAGGCATTCATGCTTGATGCCATCACCTGTCTCTCATGGTTGTATAGGGCACATATCAGGAGGAGCTAGGAAGTGTTCAACTGTTTCCTCAATCTTGCAATGCAGACACATGGGAATGTCAGCCACCCCAAATTGATGGAGGTAAAAGCAAACTCCAACATATTCCAGATGCAGGCGGGTTAAAACCTTAAACCACTGAAATACCATCAAATGAGGTAAAAAGGATTGGAAGGGTCAGGGGTAAATCCAGACAGTCCTCCACTACAGCATAAAAATGTTATAGCAGAAAAACTAGGTGAAATATTGCAAAACTAAAAATAGTAACTTAAACTTCAACATTTTTCCTATCTATGTAGTATAAAAGAAGTTAAGAAAACATAAATCTACTAGCTATAAGAAATTTCCCCCAAAAAATGTTAAAAAGTGATTTCTTAAAAGGAATTCCGTTAAGAGTCTGGGGTACCGGACTGGAAATTTTGGCGCGTGAACCGAAGCTCATTTTTTCTACTCCCCCTCTCCCTACACGCGGCGCCCCGAACAAGTTGTGACCCGTACGGAGGCCGCACTGGGAGAAATGAGAGAGACATTGTCTAAATTGTCCATTGCCAGCGATGCACGTTTTGCCCTTGTGTGCGTCATCCTGACCCAGCTTGGCCCAGTAAATGAGCATATCAGGACAACGTGCTGAATCTGTGTCACTATTTGGACAATATGAGCCATTAATTTTTTTATGTGCAGCAAGCGTGGGACTGGCGCTTCTGATATTATAAGCAAAATTGTAGTGTTACAGGGAACTCGAATATCATGAAGGTATCATGCGCGTCCAACTTACGGGGAGGGCGGTGACAGGGAACTCGAATATCATGAAGGTATCATGCGCGTGTCTGAGGGCCATGGACACGAGAGGACCGCGGGCTGAGAGGAAGTCACACAGCAGCTGGAACTCTGCTGGGTGCTGGGACTTGGTGAAGTGCTGCAGTCCCCAGCCCAGCATGCCGGGCTCGGCAGGCCCCCCGGCCCCGAAAACGGACTGCACCAGCGTGCGGAGCGCCGCCCCCGCCTCCTTCGACGAGCACTCCTGCAGCAGACGCGTCGCCGACTGCACGCGCCACGCTAGCGGACCCTGACACACCTGGGCCTGTGCGGTGAGCACCAAGAGAAATGAGTCAGATTTCCTCCGAATAGTGATGCACTTATTGCCCATACGTGGGTCATCTTGAACCACCTTGACCCGGCATTAGGGCGTATGAGTACTACGTTCGTTCTCTGCTCGTGCTGTGGATGAACAAGTGTGTTACTATTTGGACATGACCCATTGTATAATTCCTGTGAGTGAGGCTCATAGTGAAGGCTGTTGTGTTACTCTGGAATATGGATTGTAATGGGACAGGTTGAAGTTTAATTATACGCTTTAATTTACTGAACGCGTAGAAGCTGTTAGTGAGTGATCAGTCCAGACGCCGAGGTTGCAGTTATATGAACTAAACAATACACAATCAATGTGTTCGATCATTCGTTGTCGGAGATCTTCTTAGGCTATAGTTTAACATTTGATTAGTATGCAGGAACCCTCATTAATTTTAGTCGAGTATATGGGCTTGGTAAAAGAGTTACTGTCAGTTGGCGAAAGGCGAAGAGCAAATATTGAAAATACGGGTATTTTGGTTCATGAACCAAAACCATGATTTGATTCTTAATTCAACTAAAAGTCCACTTCAAACTTGAATGAAACAAAGGTAAGACGTATTCTCGATGCTAATTTCAAGATCTATTTAACTATTGAAGCATACTAGGAAAACTTAATACATCAGAGAAATGCACACCTGGATTATCTTGACATCATCAGTAGCGCACTCGTCGACGAGAGTAATTAATTCTTGTTGTTCAATGGACCTCATTTTACTATAGATTTGGCTAACTGAAAGATGAGGTTAATTATCGCAGAAGATTTTGTAACAAGTCGCAGTAAAAATTTTTAAACTCTTAATAATGACAGACATAAAATTGTATCGATATCACGATGTTCACTCACAGGTATGCAATATAAACATTAGAGGACATTTAAGGGGAGCGTCTCGATCAACAAAACTTTTTTATTTACGGACGGATCACTTTGAAACTTGGTGCACACGTGTAAAACAGAAATCAGAAGACTTTTTTCTTCATGTACATTTTTCGAAAAAATGAAATAAAACGTGAAATTCTTAGAAAACTGCGAAAAAGGGGTACTGTAGAAATCTATTTCCTCCTAGAATTTTCAAGCTACAATATCGAGATACATATCATTCGATGCGTAAAGACCATATCTAGCGATTCGTCGTAGTTTATTTTCGAAATTCTTATTAATGTGGGTGAGGGGATTTCTCGTCCGTATTTCGATTTCCCCCTCTCTCCCTTTTTGCAAAATATACAAAATATAATCCAAACTATAACGAAATTACAAAAAAGCTACGACCATTCTCTAGATCTTTCCTTTGCGAATTGAATGGTTTATCTCTCGATGCTGTAACTTGAAAATCATAGGAGATAGATTTTTAAGATGGTGCATTTTGGAAATTTTAAATGTCCAGGGGAGCCAAATAAGTAAAATTTAGAGAAAAAACGAAGATTAACCATTGCCAATGAGATTAACCAATCCATGGTTTAAGCTTTGCTGAACACATCTTGTTATTAGTTTTCAGACGAGTGCAAACACTTTGCAATTAAAACGAATACGTAATGACTTACAACTACAGATTTAATTTAAATAAATCTTTGAACATATTGTTAAAAACGTTCATTTTATAAATTGCTTTACGCAAAAACTAGAGCACGCACATACATGCAGGGTACTGCGTTAAACGCGCCTTTTCGGCAGCTACAAAATGAGTCAAGAAAACGGAAATGCCAAAATTTTTGATTTTTGACCGAGACGCTTCCCGTAACACATCAATACACGTGTCCCATCACAAGCACATCCTCCCCTCACGGCCGCTGCACGGCGAATGAGGCGGCCGGCATCGGACATTCGACGCGCACGAGAGAAGGTGTGAATTGAGTGAATTAAAACAATTTTCAAGTATACCAAAAACCTTAAATCATCTCCTGTACAACCATTCGAAAATCCGTAAATCACAGTATTGACGATTTAGTCCCGGAACAACTTTAATGAATGACCGTATAGTATAGTAAGTTGAAGTGGTCCACCGCAGAGAGCGTTTGCTCTGGAAATTTTGGCGCGTGAACCGAAGCTCATTTTTTCTACTCCCCCTCTCCCTACACGCGGCGCCCCGAACAAGTTGATGTGTCACTATTTGGACAATATGAGCCATTAATTTTTTTATGTGCAGCAAGCGTGGGACTGGCGCTTCTGATATTATAAGCAAAATTGTAGTGTTTTCTACTGACTTGATTGAAGGGTTGGCATCTAACGGAAAGTATATTCCCCATACGACTAAAACTAACATGTGCAAACCAAAAGAACTTTTTACAAATTTATTAGCATTCTAATGCATTTTCGTACCCGTGACCATGCATGAGTGATATAATTCATGGAGGTGAATTGAACAGATTTATTTTTGCATGTATTTTCCACCAAAGAAACCAAGTGTATGAAAGAACAATATAATATAAGAATGATGTTTGAAGAAAAGAAAAACTGTTTAGAATGGGCACAAGGCGCGCATTTCTTAGCATAATAAAACGGGTATGATATTATAGGCTATCAGTTATTATATCATATAAATCCACTGGTCAATAAAACTCATATTGGTGGCTTTAGCTTGAAAAGTCGTCAGTGATTGGCTGATGGAGTTACAGATGCATATATATACAGAATGTGGTTTAAGGGCAAATTAATGAATCAATTAAGTGCTGAATTTCATCGCATGTGTTGAGAAGTTTAGGAATATGGGGTCTAAAGCTTATGAGAAAAAACAAACTATGTCATGGAAACCAAAGCTTATGACAATCATAGTTAGATGAAAATTGTAATTTATGTTATGCAGATTTATATATCAGACTAACAAAAAAATGATTGGTGCAAGGATGCAAAATTAATGATGATAGAATTGCCTAAAAATACAAAGACACATAAATATACAAGGCAATTTATACAGTTTTTACATTCAAATCAATATAATCACTGGCCTGCATCTCAAGAATCATAAGTCTGTGGCCTATGGCTGAAAAAATTATAAGAAAATTAGAGCAATCAATTTTGCATGAGCATCAGTATTGTGGAATTGTAAATTACTCTTTAGTTACTCAAGAAGAAAAACCAAGCTGAAATTAAGCAACACAGGTAGGTATTTAATAAGGCTCTATCATAACAGTATATGAATCATTTAAAGTAATGAGCAATACTCACCAAAGTTGGAAGGGGAGAGCTGCTGGTCATGTTGAAGGCTGGATGAAAGTTGGGCTTACTGATATAATCCTTGAGGTAAGGATAACTTGCTTTGCAATGCCAACAAACAAACCTTATCACATTAGTTCAATTAAATGCAACAGTGGGACTTGGAAAAACCAACAAAAAGCTAATGAATGAGATCTGCATTTTTGAACATGATGCATTAAATTCTGAAAGGGAAAAATATACAGATATAGGTATATATAGTGGAAGAACAGATATATAGGCTATTAAATTATTTAAAATACATTAACACATTAACAAGATTGTTAATACTAAGAATATACAATTGATACGGAGATTTCTGTATAATTTAGTAACCATTAAGAATCAAGTCTTAATTATTATAGAATAGTTGATTTATTTAAACTTTTTCAATGACATGGAACATATCTACCTTTCTAGCCATGACTAGTAGATCTTTATTACCATTTTTTTGTAGCTAAACTAAATCCCTCTTATCTAATTGCTAACAAAAGTACACAATTGGGCTGTAATATTCCAACTCTATAAAAATTTGTAACTTAGGAGTTGAAAAATTTCATTCATAAGTAGGAAAATCCAATTTACTGCTATTAGAGAAAGGGTGATCATAAGGGTTCATTTGAAACTTGATCATAAGGGTTCATTTGCAATAAATAAAAATAATGGTAAGCCATAAGCCCATAATATACAAAATAGTGCTTAAAAAATTAAAAGCCGAAATAACTCAAATCAAAGCATTTAGCAAAATTTAAATTTATTGCAGGGCATCCAATAGGATTTTTATTATCAGGCTCCAGTTTTACAGCAAGACTGAGCTGCATATTTCAGTGAGTTACATAAATAATGGATATAGGTATCATTATTACATATGTTATATGTAATTGTACTGGAAACTGACTTAAACAAGTATTGACTCTTAAGTCTTCAACTCTTTGAATTGTTAATGATCTTGATTGAATATCATAATGAGCTTAAACGAGGCAAAATATATTTAAATCAGACATGACTGTCAGTAAAAACCAGTCTGATGAATTTTTAGATTTGTTAAATTCTTGTAAATTTTATATGAACTGATGAACATGACATGAAAATTTAGAATGCTAATCATGAATCATCCAATGTATATATATAGATATTGGCTTCAACTTTAACAATAATAGAATTGCATTAGAATTGGCGTCCCAAGACTGTTAACTTGTTGGAGAAATTGATGAAAGAGGTTACTATGCTTTTATTTGAAAAAATGTCAAAATTTACATTTAACAACAAATTTACAGTGCTCAGAATCAAAACTCAGAAGCTTGATTAGTTGATGTTCATGTTGATTGTTAAGTGAAAAAATCTCTGGCTCAATGAATAAACCTAGCCTGTACCAGGAAATTGTAAATGAATCGGTTTTTATAAAATATCTCATTATTGCAACTATGGCCTAGGTGGCAGCCGGCATGTGGGCACAGGTGCCGGGCAGGGTAGGCAACCTGAGCAACCTGACAACCTCTGTCCTCTAACTTCTGTTTCTTGTTCTGGACTTTGTGGGAGTGGGACTGCAAAAGGTTGTGACAAGCTGATGGCAATGGCTCCCACTCCACTCTCAGGTTCAGCAACATTCCACTCAATCCACTGACAGTCTGATGAATAAATAAAGTATCTGGGAATTAGTTAAATACTATGTAGACAACTACATGCAACAGTGCAACTGCAAGTGATTGAAAAGCTAGATCTCATTTTAGGTTGCCTGCAATGATAAGTATAAAAGTTTACACAAGATATTATTGTGGTTGTCGTTGTTGGCATTGCAAAGGTGGATGAGAAGTCACAAACTTTATTGTGATTCCCCCACCTATTGAAATTGATTGATGCGAGGTTGAAGGTGAAGAAGTCACGCGCAGACCGCTTGTAACATCTGGATTCAGCAATTATTATTTACTTCAGGTCGACATCTTCTCACTTTCAGTTTCATTCTTTTCTCTGCTGCTGCTTGCTCTCCTGCCTCTCCCCATTGTTAGCAGTCTCTCATGATGCAAAGTGATGGGAGGCAAATCAGCTATAAGGTAGCAGGACAACCAGTTTGTGTGAGATAAATAGCAGTTGCTTGCACTATGGAATGCTGAACTCTTCTGGGTTTGATGCCATCACCTGTCTCATGAATGTATAGGGCATATACCTGGAGGAGCTAGGAAGTGATTAACTGTTTCCTCAACACCGCAATGGGAGGAGTGTCAGCCATCCCAAATTGAAATTGATGGAGCCATCATGGAGTCATGTTCTCATGGAGGTAGGAGCAAACTCCAACATATTCCAGATGAAGGTGGGTTAAAACCTAAAACCACTGAAATACCATCAAATGGGGTAAAAAGGAATGGGAGGGCTGGAGTGGTAAATCCAGACTGGCTTTCCAGGGTAATGCAGATTACAGGACACCTCTAAAAACGTATTTACAGTAGAACCTTGGTTAGCAGAGGCCCCAGCGCGGGTTCGATCCCAGGTCTGTGCGACAGTTTTTGGTCAGAATCGGCAAGGAGGCCGGACAGTTAAGCAAAGCAAAATTGAAGCAGTGAGTGGCTAGCTTGAGACCGCAAAATGCCGTGAATGTTCTGCGATGTAAAGAATCGGCGACAGGCCTACGGCCCACTAAACGCTGAAACCGCTATTATTATTATATATTATTATAAAGAGAATGACATTACTGTATGCCGTCGACTTCATCAGAACAGCATCGTTCCTATTTTGCAGAGGTCTTGGGTCGTCTGAGGTCCTATTTTTCCAGCAATGTCCCTAAACGCCGCATCATAAATGATCAGGTCGCATTTGTGGAGGTCTTCTTTCCTCACGTGAAGTTAATAGGACTGGCGTAAACGGCTTTGTGTAAGAGTGGGTAATGGGTCTCGAACAAATGGCCTCTCAAAAGGGGTTCATATAGGATCAATATTAGTGTGAATATAGACTGCACAAATTGATGATATAGTAATATGAATGATTTACTTTCAGATCAGTTTTATTTTTATTCACCATTGTTTCCCCTTCTCAATGCAAATTCTTCAAAATCCAAGGGCAAGGTGACCTACCATAGTAGTTACAGGAGCAGTAAGATGAGGGTTCGATCTTGGCTACCTGCTACAGTTTTGGTCAAATCGGCGACGAGCGGCAGAGGAGCAGGGCGGCTAAGCGTATATCAAAATTAGAGCAGTGAGTTGCGTGTTCGAGACATTAAAATGCTGTGAAAATTCTGTGATGTTACGAATCTGTGACAGGTCTAATAGCCCAAGCAGTGAACGCTGAAACCGCTATATACACCTATTACTATATCGCCCATCACAAATACCGATATAGCCCCCGCCATTGATACTGAAATATGTTGAGGTGAAAGCATTGTAATATTTATTTCCATATATTTATACATATTTGATTTTACTACGGGCATGAAAAAAGAAGAAGAAATATCAAAGTAAGAATAGGACTATGCGTAACAAGAAAACAATTGGTCAATGTAAAACCAACGAACGAAATTTAGATAAAGATATAGAAATAAACTAAAACANGTCAACTGTCAAATTTGACACATTTTTCGATGATCTCACCAGGTGGCATGCATTGTCTCTCTTTGGATCTCAATATTTTCCCACTAGATGGCCAAGTCCCGCCAAGACCTAGTGTTTTTGCAGTATTTCGACACGCAAATGTATGAAGTCATCATTTCAAGTTTCAACCATCAATGAACGCATGGAACTAAAACAAAGCTTAATATAGAGAAAAAGCTGGAGAGGTGACGGAATTACCTACGATGTCGGAATATACCGCGTTTACCCTACCTAACCATCACAAACTTTGCCATTTCTCCCAAAATTATAAACACATAAGTCGCCAGTCATAGTGGCAAAGCAGGGAGTTTTTTTAGACTCTTCCTCAAGTTCATTTTTGAGTCCTATAAGTAGACCAGTAAAGTATCTTGGATACCAGAATTATCATACATAAGAAATCTGTTAAAATCTTGAGTAAATAAGGAAATTAAAAATGAACTGATTCTAAAAAATCACTGGTTTGCCACTATGTCGCCAGTTATGTTTGTGATAGATTATAAATAAATTTCCATATCATAGTGGCAAACCAGAGCTTTTTAGAATCAGTTCATTTTTAATTTCCTTATTTACTCAAGATTTAAACCAATTTCTTAAGTATGATAAAGCTGGTATCCATGATACTTTACTGGTCTAATTATACTCCATATCATTAAAATCAGGGAGTACAAGCAAAACGAACCTTTGTTTACTCATTACTGCGTTTCACCTCGGTATGACCCAAACTACGAAGGGAAAACATTTTCGCGGAAATAAAGTATCGCCCAAACGCAGTTCATCAAGCAGAATGAAAAAATTTGTTTTGCTCAACGAATTTTCGTCATGTTGATTTGAAATCTCAAAACTAATAGGTAACAAATCAATTGTCGTTGTCGAAAATGCATTCTACTATCTTTAGGCAATATTAATAAATGTTCTAGTATTTTCCTATGATAACGAAATGTTCGTATTGGGTCGATTTTAATAAATATTTCCTTTTCCCTGCAGCGTGGCGACTTTAGTGAGGTGACGACTTAAGTGCCTTCAAGATCAGGCTCGACAAGCACTGGGCAACACGCATAGAACAGTACGACCCCGAATGCTGTCATTAGCTCCCCTTTTGGCATTTCTAGACTAACTGCTAGCCACGTATGCAACAAGTAGTCAAGAAGCAACCCAACTAGGCCAAATAGTCAAGAAGCAACCCCCCAACCAGGCGTGGTGAACAGGCCGCAAGGCCTTTTACACTGAACTTATCAAGTATCAAGTATCAAATATCAAGTGGCATTGAGCCATTGACGTTGACGGTAGCTTATTTACCGTAGCTACATCGTCTACAAAGGAAGAGGAGGATTTTGGAGAAGTACTGTTAGTAATGGACATTGGATGAGTACACTCTGCATGCTTCAAACGTTTTAAAATTAAGTTTTATTTCAAGTGTCCGATTATTCGAAACAGTTTTCTTTTGCACCTAACGAATAGCAGATACCGTAATACAATTTTTCGGATATGTCATACGATTGCACTCGGAAAGGCCTTTAAACTGAGCATGAACTCGTTTTTGAAATATTTCATGCCGAAATTCATGGTAAGAAGTTATTAAAGAAAAACGCTCAAAATCGTCCTTTATTAGTTATTAGGTACCCGTTTGACGGTACCCGCCTATTTAAAATTACACGCAGAAAACACATTCCTGTCTCCTGAAGCTTGAAACGGAAATTTCAAACACGCCCGGCCAGAGTATCCGCAAAGTCAAAGGGAGCCCGGAAGAATTGTTATAATCTATAATTCGTTTATTATTTCAGAAATCTAGATAATTTTGAAACAGCACACTCTTCTCATTATAATGTCAAATAATGATAATGTCGCACAATGATATTGGTATAAATAATTCTTCTTTCTTTATGTGAAATAATAATTTAATTTCTCGGTCATTCACTTCACTTATCGAGATGCTTCGTCAGTTTCCGTCGGAAATACTGATCAAAGAAATTTTTGATATACCTAGCTGGCATGAGTGGCATCTTAAATCAAGTTTAATAAAGCAGTTTTCATTGTATATTGTGATTTGAATGCATTCAATGCAATGTCATTCATTTTACATTATTTTCCATTCATATTTTATTATTTTCTTATCGTGATATAAATCAACTTTTAATGTTAAATTTTAGGGTCTTAAAAATTCATAATGCTGAAAGCAACGTACCTTAAATCTTATCTAATCAGTTGTTATCATCTTACTGACTTCTCAGTCGCATCAGAATGCCATTGGTGCACGAGTGTACATATAGCCACGGTTCTGTCTGTCCTGTTTTCACGAGTGAAGATGACGAATAAATCTGAATATGCATTGAATTTTTGCAATGCTATTTTGATGGTGAGTCAGAGTTTTCCAACGAGTCTGTTGAGAAAACTACGGTGCAAGTACAATGATACTATTGAATGGCAATTAATTACAATTTATTAACCGATTAGAGACTAAAATTGACTCAGTTATAAAGTAAAGAGATATCAGATGTGTCGTATTTATAATTAAGTGCTCGAAAATCAATGTAACTAAGGATCTTAATTTGGATATGATTGACTGTTCTTGTTATACAGTCCATTTAATTCATAGAGTTTTACTGCTTGAATCATTCATGCTCTTTATCCCAACAACTTTATTTTATATTTGATTTGAAATACGCAAATTACCAAAACTCGAATAACAATTTCTCGAGCGGTCCCGTGAGTTAATTCTGAACAAACGACGATAAGAAAATTATAGATGTATCATCATGTATTTTAACTGCACAAAAAATTTGTGAACCATATCAGGCGATTGGCATCGGCTTCATTGGCGTGGCATCGTTCACTTTGTTGAAATATAAGCCTCTGGGGGCGGTCATCAGTCCGGTGATCAACGAGGCATATTGCGTCCTGGGTTTCGGGTGCATCTTGGTGGTCCTTGGGATCGTTGGCGTGACCGTCTTGGGGTGCAACATCAGCAGCGGTGACAAGCATTACCGGCGAGGTTGCTGCTGGAATTTTACGCTCATTGCTGTGAGTGTGGAATAACAGATTATTATTGAAAGAAAATAACTAAATAATATAGCTTTAAATGGTAATCGTCTCGTTTAGTGGTGTTCATCTTGCAAGTTTTCGCTAATTTTATGACGACGATTTTGTCATTCACAGTCGTTATCAGCTCTATAAGCAACTCCAGTACTGTAGTTGAAGTCAACATCGTTGTGTTGTACACCTAAAACCCTGAACTTCCTGCAAAATTTGCTTAGGATTTATTCTGCAATTGAAAATCTGTAATTAATGACCAAAATTCATCTCTGAGACAGACAGTGGTGCTGATGGTGACGTTAGCTGTAACAGAGCTGACTGTGGGTTTGCTGCTCTTCACGCCTGAAGCGGTCAACTCCCAAGTATGCGACGTCATGAATAAAACCTTCAATGAGTACAATACTGAGAATTCGAATAGCACACAATATTTTGACACCGTTGAACAAGAGGTAAGATCAACCAACTCGAACATAAATATGAATGAAAATAAAGAGAAGAACCTCGAACTTTACTAATAAACTAGAAAATTTGTAGTGAAAATTTTAGTAGTTCAATAATTCAGTAATCATTAAAACTTACCTTTAGCGATGGAACATCAGGCTTTCGACGTGAAAAGACCTACAACGCTATTTTAATTTTGGTCTCAGCTGAAGTGCTGCGGCGTGAACGGCTACATGGATTGGCAAGCCTTACGCAATTCCAGTGACGTGACCCAAGGCTGCTGTACGAACACTACAGCACCAGGGTGCTATAAGGACATCACAAGCCTTGATATCACACAGATCAAGAACAAGATCTACACCAGAGGCTGCTATGAGGCCTATAAAGAAAGTCTACATGGCGTATCTATGGTCACGACCGTCTTCTTCTACGCAGCTGCTGCGATGTTGGTGAGGCGCTATCATTTGATGTCGAATAATAAAATGATTAAATTTTGCACCTTATTTGTAATAGCTTCATAGATCATAATTTACAGATAAAGTAAAAAACTTCAGACTTAAAAAATGTTTACTTTATTTCAGTGGTAAATATTTTCGGTTACAAAAGAAACAAATGTCTCAACTTTTGAACTGAGTAAAACATTTCAATTGTATTTCTATAGAAGCTCCTAGTAGCAACATTCTAGAATAATCATGAACTGTTTACACAAATTTCTCGCTCCCAGGTTCTGACGAGCATAACGTGTGTGACCAATTTGGTCGTCAACTGCTGCATTGAAGTAGAAGATGAACCAGATTTCGGTTTTTACAAAAGAGAAGAAACTACACCCATGACAGGAGTCAATTCAGCCAGCAGCACAAACTCACGCTATAGGTCATGATCCTGACATTCGTTAGACGGAAAGTGGGTGCAGTTCAAAATTGCCTTGTTTGTTTATGGCCTCTTTTTTTCAGCGGCATTGGCCCACAAAATATGATGATGACCTTGCACTCAATGAAAAAGTTATTATAAAAATCCCAAAAAGTTGATTTGTTGACTCCCAAATTGCAAGTTTACTAATGAATAATGAACTGTGGCATTTTTTGGCTTCTTTGGCGAGTGGATTTGGCCGTTATCTCCTGCCACCATTTGGCAACCCTGCAGTTGGCAAATCTGTTGCAGCAACGTTCAACACGTCAGTCGAGGCATCGGCACAGCACAACATGGAGAACTCACGTCTTGTTGTGATATCTACTGGGGCAAATAACACTGTGAAAAATTCCAGTTCAAGTAAAATGCAGGCATGCATTTCAATATGTAAACAAATTATTTCACCAAAATTATTCGTCACCTTCAAGAAATTTAGAGTTTAAATGTTGCATGTTGATGCGCAGCCTTGACTGCACGAACTTTGCGCTTAATTTGTATATCATTCATTTTGTAATAGATAAACATCTAAATTGTTATTATTTCGTAAGATATTCAATGCATGTTATGTATTCAAGGCAAACAAAAAGTTAGTTGAAATGTCGAGCTGATGCTTAATTTTAGTTTAGTTTCTATTTTTTTCTCTGCTGTGGGGGATGAAGTTTTTTGATCAAATTTTCGTAACCACAAAGAGGTTTTGTTTAGACACTGGATGTATGGTTCCCATTCTTACACTGTGAAACACACGAATAGTGCTGCAACATAGGTACGCGAACACTTGTGGGTTAATGTACGATTCAACTTTTAATTTTCATTCCACATAAAATATTTACGCCTAACACTTGAGAATCTGATGATGATTCGCAACTTTAGCCACCCGACGCTCACCTGGTTGTACATCTTTAAATTTAATAATTTAAATCTTGCGTGTTATTAACTCGCTGACTATTAGCGCATTGAATGAGGTATAATAATAATAATAATGCATATTTGCGGCATTTGTGTACTATTAGTGGTACGCGGCCACGGTTAGGGATCTCTGGATAGGTACTGATAAGGTGCAGAGGTTCGGATGACTTATCAATTAAAGTAAATAAAAGACACCACTCTTCTGCAGTATAGGCACTCTGGCTCACAACAAGATAAAGAAGGTTCTGGAACCTTTTATTTACTTGAAAACAATGAGGTACTTGTCTGGTACCAGAACTGCTATACATCTTAATCTATCATTGCGTGATTTACATGAGAACTCTCGACATTTATTTAGGCTTAAATCCAAAATGATATTATCACAGGCAAAGGAAATTTGGGTTATTCTTATAAGTAAACACAATGAATGCACGTCCTCTTCCATGTGACTAATAATTATATTTCGACTTTTAATTAATTTGCACAACGAAAATATTATTGCCACCATTGATTAAATTTTCTTTTATCTTGCTGTCATAGAGTATTTGTTCAGATTGACGGCTGACTATGCTATTTGGCATCAATTCGAATGTTGACAAAACTGTAGCTATTTAAAGTGAAACAGCCATTTCTCTTTGATGGTTGAGTGGACCTCGCCTTATGATGTCAAAGTCATAGATGTTAACTAGCATGAAAAGTTCAGAGAATTGAAAAGCTATCAAATATCACTTAACGGAATTTGTATAATTATGAATGTTAAATAATGCTCTTTTAGCTATTATGGTGTTCAATTGTTAGAATGTTATACAGTACTGGTGAGCTTATCTAAGTCTCAGTCTAATGACCAATGGAGTTATCCTACTGAACAAAAATTCACTTAATATAAGTAGTGTTCTAACAACTGTAATTCAATAATGCAATTCTTCGACGTATTATTTAACCAGCAGGAGGCAGGTCGCTAAATTGCCGAGGAATTTCTAAGCACCTAAGTGAAAGAAATGAAACTATTATCCTAAGATGATAGATTTTTATTTTTTTTGTGATGCATAGGGCATTTTGCATTTCGCGATGACACAGTTGTTATTCATGTCTTATTTGTTACGATGCTCTGTTTGATGATTTTGAAACCTTTGTGATTCTAATGTCATGCCATACTATAGTTTTATTCATAATCGCTCTGATCAGTGCTTTCCAATATTGCGAAGTATATAATCAAAAAATAATGTTTAATAAGATATGTAAGATGAATACTGCTGAAATTTTTATTTACCCTGATATAACGTCAATTATTTCAACGCTCCTTTATCAGCAAATGAAAAACTCGAAAACACGAACGTTCTCCTCAAAATTATTTTGATTTCTTTGCCTAACGAGCACGCAAGACCACGAGAATCTATCTCTTCCCTTGGACGGCAAAGAATCTCTTCTCTAGGAAAGCCGGGAATCTCTTCTCTAGGACAGCTGGGAATCTTTTCTACAGGATAGCAGGGATCTCTTTCCTAGGACAGCCGGGAATCTCTTCAATAAAACAGCCGGGAATCTCTTTCTCCGGACAGCCGGGAATCTCTTCCCAGGGCAGCCGGGAAACTCTTTCTCCGGACAGCCGGGAATCTCTTCAATAAGACAGCCGGGAATCTCTTCCCTAGGACAGCCGGGAATCTCTTTCTCTGGACAGCCGGGAATCTCTTCAATAAGACAGCCGGGAATCTCTTCCCTAGGACAGCCGGGAATCTCTTTCTCCGGACAGCCGGGAATCTCTTCCTCTGGACAGCCGGGAATCTCTTCAATACGACAGCCGGGAATCTCTTCCCTATAGGACAGTCGGGAATTTCTTTCTCAGGACAGCCGGGAATCTCTTCCCCAGGACAGCCGGGAATCTCTTTCTCTGGACAGTCGGCAATTTCTTTCTCAGGACAGCCGGGAATCTCTTCCCTAGGACAGCCGGGAATTTCTCCCCTAAAATCACAACACCGTAAGGCGGACGGTCCTGTTTGCGTCACGCGATCTGCGGAAACTCAAACAAAATTGGTATGCAGGCCGAGAAGTGCCAGAGCATCGGTCCATTAGTTCACATCATCAATATTAATTAAGTTGAATAATGCAACAGGCCTCGCATTTTGCGCCTATTTTGTTTTGATTGGCTCGCTTTATTCATGGCCGCTGCAAGAGGCGCTGAAGAGGCGTGCCTCGAGCGCGCCCAGGCGCAGGCCTCGCAAATTGCATGGGACAAAAATACAAGCGGTTCAACTTCTCTCATAGAAATAAATGGCTCCTATTGTCCAAATATTAACATAGTTCCTTGTTTAAGCTCGAGCAGAGGACGGATGTAGCACTGAAAAGCCCTTTTGCCTGGCTAAACTAGGTCAGGACGACCATGAGTAGGAAAGTGCTTGGATATTTGGAGAAAGATTCACTCATTTCTGTGAGTGTTTCGTGAATTCATCTTTTTCTCGCGTTTGCTCAGGTTCAGAATTTTCCTGTACGGAAAAAATTACTGTGCTCCCAAACTTCCTTGCGGAGAGATAAATGGTCGACTCGAAGAATTTTGGTGCCATTTCTGAACAATTGTGTTCATTACTTGGAAGCAAATTAGGTTAAATCTTTTGGTAACAAGGTGATTTGCTCTAAAAGGGTGTTGCTCCAGGGGTGGGCAGTAGCGCGCTACACGTAGCGGTAGCGGTAGCGGCGCTACATTTAAGCAATTGTAGCAGTAGCGGTAGCGCCCGCTACAAATTTAAGTAGTGATGCGAGGTTTTGCCGCTACAGCGCTACCGCTACATTTATAGATAAGGCCTTTAGATTTTACTTAATAGTATTAAATATTATTTAAAAACTGGCATGATACACACATAATATAAATTACAGAATAAAACTACGAAAGATTTCGGTGTAATGTTGTCAACCTTAGCCTGTTACTTGTGTCAACATGTTGGTCGTTACCAGAGGTGGGCTGTAGCGGCCGTTACTAGCGGCCGCTACATTTTCAGTAGCGGTAGCACCCGCTACATTTAGAGCATGTAGCGGTAGCGGTAGCGGCCGCTACATTTCAAAGTAGCGCTGCCCAGCTCTGGTTGCTTCACATATTCAAGCGAGAGAGTGACTTCACATAGGGTGCCTGATTACCAGCTTTCGATGGTACATGCTAGTTATGATATAAATTTCTGTGTGATTATTATTATTGCACTGGAGCTAATTGCATGATATTTTCGAATAAAAAGATTAGTTTGCCCTCAAACGGTGTAGCTGCCTAAATTCATGTGGGAGGTTGACTGTAACACGTGGCGCCTGATTTTCAGTTGTCGGTGGCATGTCATGTTCGCCCCGTAGCTGCGGACTGCAGCCAAACTTGCCGCTCTGGCAGAAAACTTCTCGCCAGAGTTTGACGGCCAGCAGAAAGCGGAGGGAAAGCTTCATAAAGCCTCGAGTGTTGGGCCGAGAGTTCAAGTTTTCAAACCAGGTTTCGGTTTTCATGTACGTTACTTATTTTTTAAAGCAGGTTTTGATATGCTTTGAAAATGAAAGTTTATTTCCTGACAAATTTTTAGCACCATTGCACACATAAATGTTTAGCTATTTTTGCCAGCAATTTAATTAGAGCCGCACAATAACTGCCAGAATATTGCATTTATTCCCATTCCAAAATTGTTTATAATTATGGATCGGGTGATGGAAATTTCCGCAGTACAGAAGCAAATAATCTAATTATATATTGAACGTGTAATTCGCGCAGATAAAATGATCATACGAGTACCGATACTTGGATTGAAGATAACTAATTCGGAACAAAGATTTTAAACATCACTACGTAGTCAAAAGTTCATAAATAAGTTTCCATGAGCATTTGATGCTCGTTTGGGGCGATAATTACAGTTAGTATAAGCAAGCTCGTCGAAAACGTATATTACCTAAAATAATGTAGCCTCAGATCCAAAATTTTCTGATGAATGCAGCCCCTTTACTCCATTTTATTTCTTTGATGATATTCCTTCAGTTTTGAAGGAATATCATCAAAGGAATATCATCATATTTTTTTCATTCGTTTTGAATGTAGATTTGATGGCATGCTGTTTTTGTTCAGTTTTTATAGTCAATACTTTAATTACATTATTCCGACAATGCCACGTTGCTTGCAGGTGCATTGTCTTTGCCGTTGACTAACTGCTCTGCTCCAGGCTCATTGACTGATGAATAAAAAGTTGCTTTTTAATATTTTTCAGCTCATGTCACGCATTGTCTGACGATTCTTTGGCTAATAAATCGTTCAAATGCATTTGAATTTATATGTTTTACAACCATTTTACCGTGCGCATAAAATAATGCAAATTAAAAAAGCTATAGTATTCCTAATAAATATTCACAAGATATTTGGTCGAGGAGAGCGTCCAAAGCCGCTTTCTAACGTCCAGCAAATTTTGTAACTGAAATATCGAGACCATTTCCCGTAGACTTATTCGATATATGCAAGCATATCGGGTAAATGAAGCATGGCGTTGAGGTATGAAGTGAGAGTATAGAGTGCGAATGATAATATAGTGAGGTCGGCAATATTAATATAGTGAGATTGGTAATAATAATATAGTGAGGTCGGTAATAATAATATAGCGAGGTCGGCAATATTAATATAGTGAGGTCGGTAATAATAAGATAGTGAGGTCGGCAATATTAATATAGTGAGGTTGGTAATAATAAGATAGTGAGGTCGGTAATATTATTATAGTGAGGTTGGTAATAATAATATAGTGAGGTCGGTAATAATAATATAGCGAGGTCGGCAATATTAATATAGTGAGGTCGGTAATAATAAGATAGTGAGGTCGGCAATATTAATATAGTGAGGTTGGTAATAATAAGATAGTGAGGTCGGTAATATTATTATAGCGAGGTCGGTAATATTATTATAGCGAGATCGGTAATAATAATATAGTGAGGTCGGTAATATTAATATAGTGAGGTCGGTAATAATAATATAGTCAGATCGGACTGTACTGAAGACGAGAGAAGATCATTAATTACTTACGAGGCTACCGCAGATTCTCTGGTCTGACGAAATAATAACTGAGAAATCAAAATTTTTGTTCTAAGCTAAAGAAAATTCTAATCCTAGCTACGTGCTCGGTAAGTATATGAACGATTCATATATTCATTGTTACCTATAGGGTTTGTGCTGGCATTTATGGTGTAACTGCAAATTTTTATATCCTCTCACGTTCATATTATTATGTAGCTCTTCTTGTCCATGTACCGGATTTCTTTCCTTTTCACCCAGTATAAAGCATGAGATCGTACGGTAATTATTACAAAACACAGTTTATTGGTCATAAAATTTTATGCAGTTCACTGTTAATGAAACATTTTAAGAATATAAGCATCATAAAATTTTGCTTTATCCTCGATTTGTTACTACTCTACTCATCATTAGAACAAAAAGTTGATTCATTGAACCGAAATACCGTAAATCTTTTCACTCATTATGAGCGGATTTATTATCGTTCACTTATCGTCATCGTTAGTTGCGAAGTGTTAAATTAGTGCAGCGTGTAATAAAGGAAATGTTGACTGAAACTTTACAAGATCTGCCAATACCTGCACGCAGCAACAAGGATAATATTTTAATATCAATAAAAAAAACTCTACAGTGGACCTGTGTGTATAATGCTGATGAAATTGATCTAACGATGCTACAAGACGTGCAAATTTGTAGCATGAATGATTTATTTCGCAGGCATCAGTTCACATCAGGAGGTTCATCAGTGGGAACGATAGCACAAAAGCTAATATGAATAATGGCTCTTCTATAGTCAGGCATCAGACCTCTCCTCTAATGTCGGCGGCCTAGCCCAGCTTTTTTCAGGGGGAGTCGAGTCTTTGATCTTTAAATTGCTATTAAACTCGCAGCCGATAATACGAGCCGTATTCTTCGAAAGTTGACTTAGCAAAAGCCTAATTTTCCTTGATGCTGTCAACTCAATTTGGGAGATTTGATCTTCTCGTCCATCAGATATTCTTCCTGAGATCAGCTCGCCAGATCTTTTTGATATCGAATCATTTTGAACAGAACGAGGCTGAAAGTCGGCCAAAATCAACATCTTCTGTCGTTCATCAGACTTTTTTGCAATGATGCGAGCTTTATGGGGAAGAACGACTCTCAATCACGATTATCAATTTCATAAATTATTACACTAATCGCTGTGGTCTTGAACGGTCTACTGGAAAGGTTTGCAAATGAAAACGAAACGCCATTTAAATTTAAAG